TCTCTCTCTCTCTCTCTCTCTCTCTCTCTCTCTCTCTCTCTCTCTCTCTCTCTCACACACACACACACACACACACACACTGCGTTGATATTTTTCTTTCCCTCTCTCTCTCTCTCTTTCTCTCTCTCTCTTTCTCATGCATCGTTGCTCTGGATCACGTTGCTCTCTCTCTCTCTCTCTCGTTCTCCCTCACACTTTATAGGCCGACCGCTTTGGCTCAACAGCGTATCCTTCCCTTGGGGCCTCTCGCTCACTGTGTATTCAATGCGTCGTTGTGCTCTGACATCGACGTCACGCCATCGGCCAGCCCACACTACGTGAAAGATGCCCGTTGCGCGCATTGTTCCTGCCGACGGCCACAGCTCACCGACTGTAGGCCGCACCCCCCGTGCAGGCCTTGTGTCGTCCCGCGCCCAGGGAAAAAAGTCTGCGCTGCGTTGTGCCACCGCACACCCACGCCAAAAAGTCCGCGGGCCCGCACACGCGCGGCACTTTCGCACCATGGCCTGCGGGACCCTTATCCCACGCACGGGGAAAAAAGTCTGCAGGCCCGCGCACGCGCCGCGCTGTGCTACCCCACACCCACTCATTACCCTTATCACCTTGGACCTTTTTCCCTTGGCCGGGGCCTCCACGATAGTGCCGCCGCGAAACGCCTCGTCGGGCCCTTTTTCCCTTGCCCGCGGCCTCCACGAACCGCCACCGCCAATTTCCGTGCGCCGTGGTCTCTGGTGCCACCGCGAAACGCCGCGCCGGCACTCCACGAAACGCCCCACCCACATTTTCGTTGGGCCCGGCGGGACACGTCACGCTGGGCTTTTTGCTTGCTTTAGGAGTATAGAGAAGAGAAGAGAAGAGATGTCACTGGGCCCTTCGAGTCGACGCTCCACATGTGACGGGACTGTCCGGCGTCATGAAGAAGTTGGGAAGTACAATTGATGTAGTTCAGTGGTTAGAGCACCGGTTAGAACTTGGAAATGGGCATTGTGGTATGAGGTTGCGGGTTCAAAACTCAATTGCAGCCTTGCACATGGACACTGGCAGGGCGTTAGAATGATGCACGGTTGGACACACACAGGTCAGCTATCACAGACACTGCCTATGCACCACCCAAGGGGTAGCCCACGGTTGTTGTATGTTGGGACTGGGCAATGGTGGGATATCCTGATGTTCTTCGTCTATAGGGGGGTCACAAGACTGCTGGGTGGTTCGCACATTCTGGTTTACTCGAACCCAGCAGAGCATAGTTACATAGTATTTCACAGTATAGGTCAATAGGTTGGGTCAGTTGCATGATTCACATGAGGTCCAGGGTTCAATACCGAATCACGACGAGCTGAGGTGCAGGTTGGATATAAGTCCAAGAAGTGATCGTTACCCTAGGGTCCCCTGAGCGCAGTCGAGGATAGAGGTTAGATGGAACCGTTGGGGGGCTTAGTATTCACCGACTTCCAAGAGACCGATGTTAGGGGGGGAGGGGGGTTGCTTGTGAGCCCAAGACAAGTGGGATAACCTGAGCCTCGTATTCGATTATGACCAGGTGGGGAGATCACATAACTGTACAAAGAATGGCTGGGATGCAGGTTGGATATAAGCAGATGGGGAGATTTTGAAGCCTTATGGTCTTTGGTGCATGGTCAAGGATAGAGGTAATTGTAAAGGTGGGGTGGCCTAGTACTTACCTATGTCTGAGGCCAATGCTAAGGGGAGGATGTGATGCGCAACCTAACGCCCCGAGCGGTGTTCCATACTTCGAACGCTGATCAGAGTAGTTGGGGGTGTGGCCGAGGATTTTTGGCTGTGGGGTTGAATCACCCGGGCGAAACGGGGGATTCTTGTTTCGGGCCGAGGGTTGTCTTGTTAGGGGTTCGATCCGTTGTTGAGTGCAAGGGATGGAGGAACAGATAGTTCCAGAGGGACCATCGACAAAAACTTAAAAAGGAAAGGCAAACGAAATTGAAAAAAAAAAAAAGAGGACGGAGGAGTGGAGTTTTCCCGCTTCCTGATGCACTTGGTTTTGCGCGGCCCTTGGGGCGGTTGGCCCAGAATCGAGTTTTCAGGCCTCAGTGTCAGACTCGCCGAGCCCGCCCGGATGACCTTGCGCGGGGTAGACTGGGGCCGGGCGGCCCGTGGGAACCCAGATTCGCGCCCGCGCTGCAAGAGAGTTCTGGGAATCGAGCCGCACCTTCGTACCCCAGGACCAGTCTTCGCCAGGAACACGAGTCCCCCTGGCAACACCAGGGGCAGTTAAACCGAGGCCGCCATGTGGCGTGGGCCGCGGACCAGGGCAACACAGTTAGATCACTGTAGGGCAATACTAGGGGAGGGGAAGAGAACTCATCGATCAACACAAAGCCACTCCCTCCAATATGGCAGGCTCGGGCAGGGTTATACACATGAACGTGC